TATATATTTATTAATATTTAATTAATTTATTTACTATTTATTTAATATTTTATATATATTGTATATAACATATAACGTATTTATATTTATTATATTTTATATATTATACATTTATATTTATTATAGAGATATCATACATATATATGTAATAAAATATAAACGCCTAATAGGAAATCTTGTCCTCCTTCAATCAAAGGATAATTTAAGCAACCAATCAACCCCATGCATTTATCTGGTGGGCTGAAAGTGGTATATTATTTCTTGGAGTTGACTTTAACAAAAACTGAACTAGGCAAAGTTTGTTTCCAGGTAATAATCCCATCCCCACCTAATGTTAGGCAGAATTCTTAGATGGTTCCCATGATTTTCACCCAGTGGTGTTACTTCCTATATAATCTTCTCTCTTTGAGCGTGGGTGAGACCTGTGACCTGCTTCTAGTCAATAGACTATGGCAAAGGTGATGGATGGCACTCTCATGATTAAGTTACATTATACAAGGCTCCATCTTAGCTGACTGGAGTCAATGATGTCCCTGCTGGCCCTGGAGAAGCAAACAGCCATGCAGTGAACAGACTATGGAGCAGGCCACATAGCAGGGAACTGCACCTGCAAGTAGACCTGAGGGTGGCCTCCAGCCAGCAGACAGCCACAAGGAAACGAATACTGCCAACATCCTAAATGAGCTTGGAAGTTGATTCTTTCCCAGTTGAGCCTCCAGATGAACACACAGCCCGGCTGATACCTTGATTGCAGCCTTGTGAGACTGAGCAGAGAATCCGGCTACACTATGTCCAGATCCCTGACTCCCGGCAACTGTGAGGTAATAAATGTATATGTTGTTTCAAGCTGCTGAATTTGTGGTAATTTGTTACAAAGCCATAGAAAACTAACACACCAGCCCTGACCAGTCCCGCGCTTTTAGCACCCTAGCCCATGTAGGCATTACCCTTCTCCAGTATTATTCGTATCAGAACGGAAATGGGAACTTCTAGTGTCTTTTTCATCCTTATCTCCCCATTAATTCCCACCAGGTGTTATCCCACCAGACTGGCCTGAAATACGCCATGCATATTGTTATCTCTGGCTGAATTTTTGTTCACACCATTCCTTCCAACCCAGAATCCCTCCCTTCCCACTTTGTGCCTCATCCAAGAAACCTTCTGAACTTCTAGAACCATTGCTTCCATTGCATTTTTTATTTGCATCACTTGTTTGTCCCTGATTCATATACTGCCATGTGGCCTCTTCTGAAATCTTATTTTTCTGAAAATATTATTGAATGTGTATGTGTGTGTATATATATATATATATAATACAAACAATATATAAAAGATTATGTATATTATATATATATATCTTCTGTCTTCAATGAAATCATAAACTCACTGAAGCTCAGGATTCCACATGGTGCATAGCATACTTCTAGGAATACACACCTCCATATGTTAAAGGAAAACAGTATGGAGATTTCTCAAAAAATTAAAAATAGAAATACCATATGATCCAGCTATCCCACTACTGGGTATCATGAAATCAACAATTCAAAGAGATTTATGCCCCCCTTTGTTCATCGCAGCATTATTCACAATAGCCAAGATGTGGAAGCAACCCAAATGCCCATCAACAGATGAATGGATAAAGAAGATGTGGTGTATATATAGACAATGGAATACTACTCAGCCATAAAAAAGACAAAATTGTGCCATTTGCAACAACATGGATGGACCTTGAGGGTATTATGCTAAGTGAAATAAGCCAGACAGAGAAAGACAAATACCATACGATTTCACTCATATGTGGAATATAAACACATGGATAAGGAGAACTAATGATTTGAAAGGAAGTTGTTTAGTTGTTACCAGAGGGGTAAGGGGTGAGGGGAGGGTGAAACTGGTAAAGGGGCACATATGTATGCTGACCGATAAAAACTATAATATTGGGTTTGAGTACAATGCAGTCTATACAGAAACTGATACATAATAATGTACACCTGAAATTACACAATGTTATAAGCCAATATGACCTCAATAAAATAGTTTTATTTAAAAAATGTGTTACATGAAGTAGTCAGCCAAGCGTGGTTGGCCACTTATTGAGCCTCTCCATAGAGCCAGACCTAAAAGCCTCCCTCACCGTTGCCCTAATCTTGCTGAGCTGCACTTTTCTTTACTGAAGATTGAATATAATACCATCTACCATAATTATTTCAAAGATTACGTGGGCACCTGGCACTTCATAGGTGCTTAATAAATGTGAGTTTACCCTGAACCTGAGTTGGCAAACCTCCATGTATGAAGGCTGTGCAGACACAACAGTGGGTGGAATTACCACAGGCAGGCCAATACTTCAAAGAGCTCAATAAACTGAAGAAGCTAGTACATTAAAGAAGGCCAGTTTAGGTAACTGAGTTTAAGCTTTAGTTTCCTTTCTAAGTAGATAGATATACATGGAATGCAAAGCCAGTAACTCACTTACAAATACTAATCAAGAGTGGGGAACGATCTAAAGGAATGTGAGTAGGTCTTGCCAGGAAAGAAGTTTGCTGCTTCTGAAATGTTTTGGTCTTAGCCACTGGCAGGATTGATCGATTGCAGTTAGCAGAGCGTTTTCTGTGCAGCCTGTCCAAGCATCTGCTTCTGTGCTTCTGTACAACTGTTGCTCAAATTCACTCTTCCTTTCAAATCATCATCTTCCAAGAGCAAGAGAAAATCCACCCAAACCACCCTAAGTATCCTAACAGCTTCCAAGTCCTTTAAAAGATGGTCCTTAACATTTCCCCTTACCCCCTGCCTGGGTTCAAACTTCAACTCCCAGGGTTCGCACAAGTCCCTCCCCTTGCCCTGTCATCTAATGAATATGCAAATACCACATAATTGGCAGCCAATGGCGTGGGTTCTGGTCACATGGTGCCGATGGTAGGTGAGCGGACAGAAGTTGTGTGTCGGTGACCAGAGACAGCTCTCAGTCTGGGGCGAGCGCTTGAGTGAGCGCGGACGGATGCTTGGGCAGTAGTCCCTGCGGCGGCCGCGGCAGCAGTAGTGGTGGCAGGAGAGGAAGGGGGAGGTCCCCGAGGGCTACACACGCTCACACTTTCAAGTTCCCTTGAAGGGAGAGGAGGTGGGGCTGCAGAAAGAGGAGGACGCGAGCAGTTCCATCCGTCCTGTCCCGTCTCCCCCTCTTCCTCTTGCTCCCTGCACCCTGGCTCTGCGAGAGTTGAGGGTTCGGGTGGCAGTACGCGGCAGTGAGGGCAAGAGGGCCAGGAAAGTGGGGAGCGGAGCTAGGGGTACAGGGGAAGATGCCCATCCTGCTGTTCCTCATAGACACGTCCGCCTCTATGAACCAGCGCACTGACCTGGGCACCTCCTATTTGGACATTGCCAAAGGCGCTGTGGAGTTATTCTTGAAGGTAAAGGGAGGGGAGCGGAGAGATGGGGAGACCTCCCGAGGGATGGGGGGGTTGGTGGATTTAGGTGCTTCTGTAACGTTTGTATCGCCCCCTCCTCCCTCCTTCCCTTCGCGGCCCCCTCCGTCATCCCTCGTCCCGCAGCTGCGCGCCCGGGACCCGGCCAGCCGCGGAGACAGGTACATGCTGGTCACCTACGACGAACCCCCGTACTGCATTAAGGTAAAGGGGCCATCAAGGGGGGTGGGGTGGGCGGGAAGCGGGAGCAAGTCGCCAGAGCTGCTTACCCCCTTGCCCCCACCCGAGGCGGTCCTGCGTCGCCCAGCGGGGCGTGCGGGGCGGCGGGGGGGGCGCGCAGAGGGCGGGCGGAGTGGTGCAGTCGGCGGCTTCCGAGGAGCTGCTGCGCCCAGGGTCGGGGAGAGGGGACGGGGGAGGGGCAGCCCCGGGGAGAAACCACAGGAGGGCCGAGCCGGTGGCGGCGACGACCGCAGCCGCCTGGAAGATGGCGGACATTTTGCTTTTGTATGAGCCAGAGAGGGAGACTGAGGGCGCTGCTGAGATGGAAAGGAGGGAAGGGAGGGAGGAGAGGGGAAGGAGGGCCCGAGCCCCGGAGGGAGGCTGCGGGGCGGGCCCGCCCCTTCGGGGCGCACCACGCGCGGCTGCGGCCCAGGGGCCGGGCGGAGCGTGCGACTCCGCCCCGAGGTCCTCTGCGCCCGGCGCGCGGGCTTTCCTGGAGCCCGGGCTCCTCCTCCGGCCCCTCCTTCTTCCCCCTCCTCCCGCTCCTCGCTGCTTCTCCTTCGCCCCCTCTTCCTCCTGCTCCCCTCCCCTTCCTGCTGAGAGCGTGGCAGAGCCAGCCGCCGGCCTTCAAAGATTAGACTACTGCGTTTGCACTTCTGTGGTCTCTGACCCGCCCCCACCCAATGGAAAATCTGTCCGCCGAGCAAGCCTCCCAACCCCCAGACCCGGCGAAACTCTTGCCATTTCTTCTCCAGAATTGGTCCGGTTAAGCCAGGCTCTGTTACCTTAGCTACTGTTAGTGTTTCATTGGAGACTCCACCGAAGCCGCGATGGGGTGGGGCGGGGAGATGCCCAGTCGGAACCCACAAGGGGCAGAGCTTTTTAGAGACCTGGCCTACCTATTTACATCGTAAATTAGGTTTGTGTTGGCCACGTAGGGATTTGTCCTGGGAAAAGAAAGGAAGGAGAGGACTCGACTGCGCGCAGTTATAATGGTCAAATTCGATGATTTGATTCACAGGATTCTGACCTACAGGAGAAAAGTGGGGAGGACTTAACCTCCGTGGGATAGTTAATTTATGTTCCTAATGGTGAGGAGATAAAGAACTGCTTTGCCTGCAGTGGCCCGATAAAAGAGAACGCAGACTATTAAATCAACCTGCTTAAGCCCTGCTTGCGTATTGAAATTCAAAAAATATATTACCATAATCCTTGACGTCTTTTGCTAGACGCCCTCTTTTTCTCAGAATTGTCTTAATATTGCTGGGGAGGCGCAGCCTGGACGTGTTGTAATCCATTGCAGCAGCGTGAGGTGTTTAAAAGAATGGAACCTACCAAACTGAATCGTTGGCCAGAGGGAGTGTTCCTTCAGAAATAAAACCAAAGGGAGGCTTTAATTTTGTAACTCGTAGCTTCCATTAACAGTTTGGCTAGGAGGTTCCCCTTAAAACTGTTTTGGTTTCCATGCTTTGTTTTCTGTTTTTGATTCATCTATTTAGAAAAATCGAGCAAGTAGACATCTTTCAAAATGCCATAAGCTTTTTAAAAATGTCAGTTTGTCGAGAGGGTGTGACTGTTTTTTCCACATAGAAAAGCAGATGTTTGTACATCCTAAGTCTGCAAGTCTACACCCTTTGGGTACTAATACAGATAAGAACCCGCCATTTGTACTGTGGCCATTTGAAGTCCTCCTTAATTCGAAGTAGTAAAAAGGATAAATTACAAAGCAGTGTGCCTTTTTTTTTCTTTAAAGGAATAACTTAGTTAACATTTTTCTGAATGCCAAGCCTCCTAGTTTAAAAATGGTTTTTGATCTATAAAACTTTCATGGCAATATCTACAGAATCTTTGGAAAGGAAAAAGAAAGTCGCACTCCCTCTTAACAACTGTAATTACATCTTTTTACCTAGCATTTTAATCACAGTGTGCGTATTACTTTGTGTTCTGCTTTTTCCACCTATTTTGTCTCATGAATTATTCCGGATTTCGCATAGTCTTCATACTTAAAATTTTAGTGGCTGTGCAACTTATCCATGGTATTTTAGAGGCTCCAGAGAGTTCTATGAACAGAGGGGAAAAATTGGATTTTGTTTTTAGTGGAAATTTCATCTGTTAGCTCTTTTTATCTTGCCATCTTATATACTACATTTTTTCCTAAAGTAAAAACCATTCTTCCAAATTGAATTTGATCTTTTTTTCTTCTGTAGGTCAGGTATGGGAAGATACTTCGCGTAATATTTTTAATTACTAATCATTCATTATCTTCTTATTTAGTCTTCATGCTTTCCCAAGGTTCTTTAGGTTTTTCATGTTAATCTAACGTGATAATTCCGTGTGCTAGGAAATGGTTAATAACCTTAGTGATGTTCTTGTCATTTTGCTATCTCTACCTGAATTACTAATGATATGCCAGATTTTGGTAGCCTTGTCTTTTTCTGAGTCTCTTTGAGCCACTCCCTCTTGCCCGCCCCCAACCCTTCCTCAGCGTGTGGTAACTATTTGTTCTTTTGCTTTTGGGATTTAGCCATTTTGGAAGATCTGAAATTTTAGAACATCTGGTGAATTTTCCTTAAAATTTAGTCTAGTCTTTCACTTGCTAATAGCTCGGAGCCATAAATGTCTATTTTCTGTCACACTGCTTATCAAATAGGTCTGTCTTTGATTGTCAGCAGGCATCTTAGTTCCTACTTAAAACTTCACTCTTCATTAGGAGCCTGGGGTTCTTTCAGCAGAGTTAGATGCTAAGAGTTTTATTTGTAGCTTATTTTTCTGAAGAATAAGGTGAAGTGTATTCTTCAATTTCTCTATGGTTGGAGGGCCATTGTTTATCTCTTCTCAAAATAACTGCTTGTTTCTCAGGTCTTGGTTATATCCAACACTGCAAAACAAATTCTTATCCTACTAGAAGATTCGATTCTATTGGTGGTGTGACAGACATGAGTTGTGCATTTGGTGGGGAGGGCTTTTTTTCCTAATAGGCGTGGAACTATTCCCAGTATATCCACTTACAAGCTCTGACAATAAATCTTGTTGTGAAAAGTTACTGTGACTGGAATTTTTCACTAACATATACTGTTGAGTATGTGAATATAGTATTTCACCTAGGACTTAGTAACTTCTTACTGAATACCCCTTAGGACATGGCTATGTGCTCTTTTAAAATTAGTCATACCTGTTGTTTGCAGTCAGCTTTGCATGGATGGAATTAAGTTTGATTTGGGGACCATATAAAAAACATGAAATGCAACCATTTTGTGCTGCATGAAACGTGTTGCTTCGTAGACAAGTTTTATACATAGTGTCACAAGTGTTAACATTACATTTATACAATGGGATCTTTAGTGTACACAGCTAGGATGAAACCCAGTTTAATACTTTAAAATCTCCAGTGTATCCTTATAAGACTAATATGTGGTTTTAAAAAGTGGAGTTTTTTTATATGATAGTTCTTAATAGCTTTGGCTGAGGTTCTGCTGTTTCGTATGTTTTGTTTTGCTATGAATCATAATTTCCTTTTATTCAGTGAATAGCAGAGGTAAGCTTGTCACTACTACTAACTCAAAGCACTTTGAGGGCACTGAGAAGAAAGTGAGCCATGAGACTGGGGTGTATAATAATATAAGTATTCAGAATAGTTTGGTGTCTGAATCCGCATTCTTAAAATGATTTCTTTTTTTATTGAAGGAAATGCTTTTTTAATATAAACCGAGTCACTTTTCTAGAAATAGCTGAAACACATGTATAAATAATGGACAGAAGTTTTTTTTTATGAATAGGAAGAGATGTTTCAAAGGAATGTCACAAGTCTGTAATTTGAAAACATAGAGCCTTTGAAAACGTGAAAATTTCCCTTGAGTGTTGCTTTTTCACATCCTGTAGCTAGCTTTGCTTACTGGTATCTGCATGCCTTTGTCGACATGTATCAGCAAAAGGCAGCATTTTGGCTTATAAATTTAGGAAGTAAACTTATGCTTTTTATGATCTGTGTTCCAAACATTTATTGGTATTTGAACTAAAGCATAACTTTTTCATATGCCCATGAGTATATTTTATGGGCTTTATTTGGAAAAGAGTGACTTTTAGGGGAACCTTGCATTGTGTTTGGAAGCTAAAGAAGTGCTTTTGGGTGAAACAGTAGCCACCTGGCCTGTGAGAGCAAACTGAGACGGTGGAAGGTGCATTTAAAACTCAAAATGCCACCAAGGCAATGCGGTGACTTTTGTGATGAGTTGTTTCTCCCCTGATCTTGCTTCCTCTTCACCTTCCCCATTGGCCATTTGAAGCATGTGATTATAGTTATTTTGAAATAAGAAAAGGGGAGAGAAACCATCAATAAAATGAAAAGGCAACCTACTGAATGGGAGAAGATATTTGCAAACCATCTGTTGGATAAGGGATTAATATCCAAATATATAAAGAACTCATACAACTCAATAGCAAAAAAAAAAATCGATTAAAAAATGGGCAAGGGATCTGGATAGACATTTTTCCAAAGAAGACATACAGATGGCCAACAGGTACATGAAAAGATGCTCAACAGCACTAATCATTAGGGAAATGCAAATCAAAACCACAATGAGATACCACCTCACACCTGTTAGAATGGCTGTTATGAAAAAGACAAGAGGGGCCGGCTGGCGGTGCAGCGGTTAAGTTTGCACGTTCTGCTTTGGCGGCCCGGGGTTCGCCTGTTCAGATCCTGGGCGCAGACCTACTCACCACTCATCAAGCCGTGCTGTGGCGGCGTCCCACATACAGAAACGAGAAGGATGTACAACTATGACATACAACTATCTACTGGGGCTTTGGGGAGAAAAAAGGGGGAAAAAAAGGAAGAAGGTTGGCAATAGATGTTAGCTCAGGGCTAATCTTCCCGAAAAAAAAAAAAAAGATAAGAAATAACAAGTGTTGGAGAGGATGTGGAGAAAAGGGAATTCTCATGCACTGTTTGGGGGAATGTACACTGGTGTAGCCACTATGGAAAA